TGGAAATAAATTACGACATACAGCTGCAATTATGCATCCCTTGCTTTATGCAAGAGGATAGATAGTTCTGTGTCGTCTTTGCCTTTATAATTTTTTTACTCCAGAAGTAAATGAACCAAGTCAAACCATACAGGGCAGGACAAGCAGCCTCTATGCAAAAAAAGGGGGAAAGAAGAAAGACGTATGTCTGACACCAGGAAAGGCAATATTCACAAGACAGTGGGGATTATTTCAACTTCCCAGGACACATTACCAGCTTAAAACACAGAAGGTTGGGTGTTGTTGTTTTTTAACAGCTCAGATTGAAACTGGTTTGGAGAGAAAACACACCAAAATTCAGTATTTCCCAAAAACAACAACACAGGATAGATACAGGATAGATTACGGCTTACGTTGAATGTACACCAACTTGCCAAACCAACATTGGGAGTCCATTGGATGAAGAGTAAATGTACACAGCTCTAGTGTGGCCATTCTAGAGCAAACCTCAAAGGGAGTATGTAACATGAAACCACTGAATTACATCAAGAGGTTCAGCGCTATCACTTGTGGCCTGAACCAAGACTGGAGGATCATTAGCATGTGTTAATTGGCTTACTAGTGCCAGGGTGTCTGCATTACCAACTGTTTGTGAGTTGTCACTATTAATTAGGTACTTATCACCCTCTGTGCTTTTCTGCATTCCCTCTGACCTCAGTATTTTACAACCTTCTCCCTCCCCACCCAAAAAACCCTCATGTATTTGTATACCCATAACTCGGGATGACACTTCATGCATTTTGATTTTAATTAGTTTTAAAATACCTGTTTTAGCTGAATTTATTAGATAGATAGATAGATAGATGATAGATAGATAGATAGATAGATAGATGATACATACATACATACATACATACATACATACATATATACCTAAATACACACAAAATCGAGTGGTATATAAATTTTGTTGCACAAAGAAAGAAAATGCACCTGATAGGCTGAACTGTAGTGCATGAAAGCTTATGACAAAATGAAGTGGTTAGTCTTTAAGGTACTGCAAAGTGTTTATTGCTTTTGAGCCAAACTGATAACCCTTGAGTGTGCACATATCTGTGATTATAGAACCAGTGTTGCAACCAGAGATGTGAAAGCTAGGAGCTAAATGGCACCTTAAATCTAGGTTGTGGGCACTGCATTGGAGTGTCTGGGTGCACTTTTTAATAACAAGAATGCAAGCTGAAAATGAATGAACTGCAGCTAAAATCTTATGTTCGTTTTTCACACGGTGTAGTCCTCATCTGAAGACATATTTCTCCTGCCCGTCTCCCTAATATTCTTATGAGGATACCTTCTCCAGTCTTCAGAGAGTGGCTGGAAGTGGGGAAGCAGAAAGGTTCCTCCTTTCATTCCAGCAGTGGCAGTTTTAATCTGAAATCTTAGGTGCAGTACTGAACCCAGCGCTCAGAAACTGCTCGCATTAATGAAATTCCCTGTCGCGCCTAGAACAATGGGAGTTTCCAAAGCTGTATAGAACTACTACCCCCACCCCACCCCATCCCGGGCAAATTAAAATTGTATGAAGCGAACAAAATTACAGTTTTGTCTCTCTCCTCACCAAATGGGGTTGTTCAAGACAGCCTGTGAATAGCCATTTTCTTTAAAGGAGAGCACACTAGAGACTCGAAGTGCACCAATATACCTCTTTCTGTGCATATTGACAGGTTGAAAAGGAGTGACAGGGAGCAGGAGCAGGCATAAGCAACACAGGTCCCATGGTGGGCTCAGCACAAAATATACCCATTAATGAATCCTAGGAGACATTCCAGGGTAGCAGAATCTTTGACCTTCATGACTCTCAAAGAAGCTGCCGCAAGTTCATTAAAGGAGGGGGGAGGAGGTGAAGCTGAGAGGGATTGGGAGACTCACTAGGCCTCTTAGAAAATTGCAAAATGGCCTTATGACATGAATTTGAATTTATTTATTTTTTGTTTTGCATAGTAGAACTCCAGTCTAAAGTTAAAAGCTCTGAGGATTTATCCTCTTGTGATCTGTTGAGACAATTTAACCTCCTTCTAATTGTGCCACTAAACAGGTTAGTTGTGTTGCTCAGAAACATTTCAAAAAAAGGTTGCATCTTGAAAGTGTGGTGTCTTCTTGAATTATAAAATATTGGGGGGGGGGACAGATAAAGAAAATATATCTGCTTTCCCAAGATGAAGCTTGCAGGATTCATGCACCGAATATTCAGATAGTTGGAACGTGTTTATTACCATCCTAGAGTAATCGTGAACACAATTAAAACCTTTCGTCCTCAATCTGGCTTCTGTCCCTGTGTAAGTGGCTGTTACCAGAAGACTCTGTGTGATTGTATTGATGTTTATATGGCCAGTTTTCATGGTTAGTACAAATCATAAAAGCTATGGAGGATGAAGCGTAAATGAATCCAGCTTCAGAATTGCTGGGAGCTAAAGTTTTAAAACTCATGCTGCAAAGTGAAAAATGAAATTTAACCAGGCATTTTGGTGAAGGAGAAGCAATTTATTGGATGTAAGATGAAAAGCTGTGAGAGTAAACATCAATCTCATCTTAGACACATGTCAGTGATTGATGTTTGCTCTGCACTGCAGCCTGGAGGTAAACTCTTTGAAACAGCATAGTAGGTACTTTATCTGTCTGAGGGAAAGAACACAGTTTGTTAAGTCGCTGCTTTTTTTTTTTTTTTTTTTTTTTGAGACCCTGCTACATCTTCATGTTCAATCAAAGGCAAAACAGTAAATCAGAGTAATTGCTTTGCCCTGTGGCATTTCTGTTTGTAAATGGAGGAAAAAATACTGCAGAACCCTCAAATTAACTTCTGTTTAAACTAGGTGAAAAGTCCAAAAAGTCACTGGCAGCCCAAGTATAGCATTTTATTAATCATGTCACCAGTCCATCAAAAGCTAGTGCTTTGTTTTTCTTGCACGGCAGCTGATGCTTTTGTTTCAAAATGCTTTTTAGCACTGAGGAATGTAAAGCTGTCACTTCTGGGAAATCATAACAAGCCATTAGCAACACAGACTTTATAAATAGTCATCATTTATTTATTTTTGTTTAGCTGAAAATGACAATGGTATGAATAAACTGGCCAGAAAAGGTGTTGGATATGACTGATATAATGAGAAGCAAGCCTAATCTACAACTTACTAAGTGCTTGTGCTATTCAATAATATAATTACCCAACATTATTGTATTGATTAAAATGATTATTCATATGAATATATGAAGCTACCAAATACTGAAGATTATTGATCCACCGAGCCCAGTACTGTATTGTCTACTACTTTGTGAGGCAGTAGATCAAATAGAGAGGTCTTTCTCAGCCTTGTTACCCGGGGCTAAACTAAATTCTACCACTAAAATAAAATAATTACTTCCCAAGCTGTTTCATTTGGCCAATATTGTGAAAGTACATTTCCGTTTCTGAGCACAATTCGAAGTGTTGGTGCTGACCTTTAAAGCCCTAAACGGCTTTGCCCCTGCATACCTGAAGGAGCAGCTCCACCCCCATTGTTCAGCCTGGACACTGAGGTCCAGCTCTGAGGGCCTTCTGGCTGTTCCCTCGCTGCAAGATGTGAGGTTACAGAGACTCATTTTCTGCACTGTGCAAAGCACTTCATAGACCAGCTGTCAGAATAAGGCAGTTTCACACCTTCATCTTGGTCAATCCTTTTATGAAGGGGCTGAATTCAGTGTAGCAGAACAGCATTCATGCATTTGTATTCACAACTTGCAGCCATCACAGCACGTTCATGACTTACTGTACTATGAATGTAGCCACCGCCAGCTCTGTGATGTCTTAGTGCACAGCTACAAGTCATATCAGCCCATATGTGGGAGACTAACAACAAGAATGTCTTGGTTGGGATGGTTGTTTTCTTTCAATCCTCCAATTCTAGTTGGTTGGCAAAAAGGATAACAATAGTGGCTAGGCTAAAGTAGCTGATAGTTGCGTTTGTACTTTCATGACCACAGTTGATTAATGGAGATCAGAAGAAGGTGCATTACTGTGAAAATATCTGTGGTATATAGCATTAACAACCCTTTAAAGGTAAAGGCAAAGGTACCCCTGCCCATACAGGGGTCTTGACAGACTCTGGGGTTGTGCGCCCATCTCACTCTAGAGGCCGGGGGCCAGCGCTGTCCGGAGACACTTCCGGGTCACGTGGCCAGCGTGACATCGCTGCTCTGGCGAGCCAGAGCCGCACACGGAAATGCCGTTTACCTTCCCGTTAGTAAGCGGTACCTATTTATCTACTTGCACCCGGGAGTGCTTTCGAACTGCTATGTTGGCAGGCGCTGGGACCGAGCAACGGGAGCGCACCCCGCCGCGGGGATTCGAACCGCCGACCTTTCGATCGGCAAGCCCTAGGCACTGAGGCTTTTACCCACAGCGCCACCCGCGTCCCTAACAGCCCTTTAGGGGCTCATTAATGAAAAGAGAACTATAGAATCCAACTAGAGTGATTTCATTTTTAAGCAGTATTCTTGTCTAACACCCTAAGGCACTGAAGCTCTTTAGATTTTGCTGGACAACGGCTCCCATCATCCTTGACTATGCAGATTGAGACTGATCGGAGTTGGAGTCCAACAATAAAGGGGGAGGGAACACCCTGCTCTAAAGAGCTGTCATACAAGGAAATGTTTTCATCATTTCTATTTAACTATAGCTTTAATTATTGTGCACTTTAAAAAGGAACCCCCCCTTTGTTTCTTTGTCAAAGATGCTTTGACACTTACCCTGTTGCATTTCACCTGTTCGACATAGGTCCCCTAAATATCTCATCCCTCCAGAAACTGGGTGAGTGTGTGTGTTTTTGTGTGTGTATGTGGACTTGAATTTCCTTATTGGAATGGCATCCATCACATTCCTGTTCTTGTTTTCTTTGTCACCTGTTTGCTAATTCACCCTTCTGTATGTAGTTATGGCTACCCAGGGTTTGTTGCCTTAATTCTAGTTTTCTGCTTTTCTTTTGGTGCAGTGTCTATGACCCTGACAGAAATATGCTGCGCAGGAAAGAATGGGAAAGGAGAAATCAGGAGACCCAGCACGAAGATGGCATATTTAATAACAGCTACTCCCTCTTCAGTGAGCCATACAAGGTATATATATATTTCCCCAATTTTCCTCCCTGTTGTTTGATTGTTGCTCAAAGCAGGTAAGGCAGTTTAGGAGAACCCAATTCCCCAACTTAAAAGAGAATAATCTATATTTAAAGTGTCCCTTACAGAGGCTTGTCTAACCTTTTTTTGAAAACCTCCAGAGAAAGCCAGATGACAGCTTATTCAATTGCTAACCCTGCCCTCAAAGTGGGATGCTTAGAAATTTTTAATTTTGTAGTCTCTTCCATCTTACCATCTATGGACTTGTAAAGGGGGTCACCTACTCCTTTATCCATGTCATTCATGACAATATTGAATGTCATCATATCCGACAACCAAAAACTGTTGTTTGTTCTTGGGCAGAGCTGCTGGCTGTTAATGAACAAGCTAAGCCATGTTGTCTGGAAGTTGATGCCACTAGAACACAATGGCTGGTTGTGAGCCGAGTCAGAACCAGGGGATGTGGCTTGAGGTCCTTCATGCCGGAGTGAAAACAAGCCTGGTCCTGCTTGGACACCTCCCTTCACCTCACCTAACTGATGGGCCACCCGCCTGTGCTCCTCTCCCAGCTGAGCATGCAATACTGCCTTCTGGTCTAATAATGGACTGGGATAGCCAGTGTGGTGTGCCTTAATGCTCAGGCAGTGCTGGCTGAGGCTGATGGGAGTTGCATCTTGAGGGCACCATGTTGGCTACTCACATACTAGACTCATTTCCTTTCTCCTCCCTGCACCAAATACATTAGCTGCTCTATAGCAGGTCGTTCTAATCCAACAGTGCGGAATCTCTGGCTGTGGGCCTAATTAGGCCCATCAGCCGCACACATACCCCAGCTTGACGCATGAGACTGTTTTGGCCAAGCCATTTCCACCACCTGCTCTCTAAACCTGATGTCATATATGTCAGGTGCAGGGCAGGTAAATGCATGGCCGGACCAAAGGGCGGGTGGCAGATACCACCAGCCAACTGCACCTGCAAAGACCTGTGTGCAGAATCAGCTGATTGTCAAGGCAATCAGCACTATGTACAGCACTATGCAAAAATGGGTCACCTAATGTCATTGTGGGGACGCAGGTGGCGCTGTGGGTTAAAGCCTCAGCACCTAGGACTTGCCGATCGAAAGGTCGGCGGTTCGAATCCCTGCGGCGGGGTGTGCTCCTGTCGTTCGGTCCCAGCGCCTGCCAACCTAGCAGTTCGAAAGCACCTTCGGGTGCAAGTAGATAAATAGGGACCGCTTACTAGCGGGAAGGTAAACGGTGTTTCCGTGTGCTGCGCTGGCCTGCCAGAGCAGCGATGTCACGCTGGCCACGTGACCCGGAAGTGTCTGCGGACAGCACTGGCTCCCGGCCTATAGAGTGAGATGAGCGCACAACCCTAGAGTCTGGCAAGACTGGCCCATACGGGCAGGGGTACCTTTACCTTTAATGTCATTGTGATGATGACAGGTGACTGACAGGAAACACCCGGCCCCCCAAATCTATCAAATCTATATCAATATCTTTCTTTTTAAGAAATCACATGAGGGATAGGTCGTAAGTCTTGCTACAGTTCAAATTTATTAACAAGATTTTCCTTGCCCACTCAACAAGTTATTTTATCAAAAGAGAGTAGGTTCTTCTAGGGATTTATGTGTGTCCTAATAAAACTGTATTGTTTCCTAGTAACAACTGAGTTTTCTTCAAGTTGCTTGCCAATTAGTAATTTCAAATTACACAGCACTGTAATAATTTCGTTCAGTAAAAGCGACCACATAAATTATTTTGTATGTCCTACTTTAATTGGTCATTAGCTATAGGCTGCAGGATATACTTTTTTTGTAGTCTGCCACAATGAACTGGTCTCACAAAGCATGCATTAATATTGATGTCTCATTGAGTTTTAGATGTTTATTTTTCAAAGTACATGAATGGTGGATCAGCGTTACATTCAAATGTGTTTCAAAAAAGCATTTTAGACTTAGATCAGTACCTAGTTGTTGGCACCCGTCTGTATCAAGAGACAACAGAGTGTACTTCCTGGGATGAAGTGAAACCACTGTGTTAGCAGCACCAAAGTAACGTTACTTGGTGCGCAAGCCTGGGCAGTGTGTATGGAGATCCTGGGCTGCCCAAACGAAAAGACCCCCCTCTCAGCCTCGCTGCTGTGGTCCAAAGGAAACGGAGCAATACATTTAATCTTGGCTGCCAGAAGGAGGCATATAAGGCACCATCCCAACCATTTTAGGGATTTCACTCCAGATTTGCATAGGGTTTGCTCCTTAGCTTTTTCTTCTCCCAAAGATGTCCTGCAAGGCAGCAGAGGTTTAGGACCAGAGTTTCTCCTAGATGGGCTACCTTCCAAGGTTGACAAGCCTTCTTGACCATTGGACTCACTATTGACCTTGCCCGCTCAAATCTGCTGGAGCTTGTCCTAACATGCAGTGAAAGTCCCTAGCTCACCAGGGTTTTGAGATCCATCAGCTACCCTCACCTACTTTAGCTGGCCAGTCAAAGGTGCTGCTGGGGTGTGGCCACTGTCGCATGCTGACAGCTTCTAGGAGCTTACAATGGTCAAACAGAAATATCCTAGCTCTAGTTACATTTCATGGAAATCATTCAGTATAGTTAACAATTGTCCATATGACATCACAATATTCTCAGAATTGTTGGAGAGGCTGTGGAAAAAGGAGTCACCTTTTTCCAATATTGGTGGGACTTCTCACAGGTATTTAGATTCTGGACAATGGTGGGCCTAATATTTGACAATACTCAAATATCCCATTCCAAGTTCACTGCAGATTTGTTTACTAAATCTTTGGGATGATCAGCTGAAAGGGTTCAACTTTCAGGAACTCTTGACATCGATGCTGGTGGCTGCCAGAACTTCAGTTGTCCTAAAATGGAAAACCTTACAGGACTTGTGACTCACACTGTGGTATAAAAATATGTGGAGTTTAGTGCTAGCTGAAAAATAACTCGTAAATTACATTTTTTCAAAGGCTCATAGGATCCTGAAAAATATTATGCTGTTTGATGGGATTTTGTCATATATATACCACAAATACAGACACACAGGACTCCATGGTTTAACAAGAAATGTGGCTTTCCTAATGGTATTAAGTACTCTACTTTTACCTGATTTATTTCTTCCAATTATACTTCACTGCTGTTTGTTTGTTTTTTATTTGTCCTTCTACTATTTTTATTATACAGTGGTGCCTCGCAAGACGAAATTAATTCGTTCCGCGAGTTTTGTTGTCTTGCGATTTTTTTCGTCTTGCGAAGCACGGTGTCGGAAAAGTTTTGGAAAAGCTTCAAAAATCACCAAAGTCTTCAAAAACCTCAAAAAAGGCTACCACACCACGTGCTATGAGTTGCTCCTCGAAGTCAAGTCGCAACTGTATTAACGGTGTTAAGAAAAAGGAAACAAACTTGCAAGACGTTTCCATCTTGCGAAGCAAGCCCATAGGGAAAATCGTCTTGCAAAGCAGCTAAAAAAACAAAAAACCCTTTCGTCTTGCGAGTTTTCCATCTTGCGAGGCATTCGTCTTGCGAGGTACCACTGTATTGCTTTGACTTCAATAAAAAAATAAAAACCTTTTTTTCTGCTTCCAATATGATATGCTTGGAAAAAATGTATTAAATACAAGTGATAACATTTGTAATATGCATAATATATACGCTGAAGCTCATGTAGCTTTCCATGTTCAGAGTAAATTGAAAACCTTTTTGCGTCCTCACAAAACAAAACATTTTATGTGATTCTTCATTTAATGTGCTTCCGAACTGTTGCATATTCATGACGATTTCCTTTGCTATTCTTTAAGGTGCCACAAGATTCTTTGTTATTCTTGATGCTACAGACCAACATGGTGGCTACTTTCTATTTTGTTACAGAATTTAAAATTATTCTTGCTTTCTTTACAGACTAACAAAGGGGACGAGCTCTCCAGCCGTATCCAGAATACCCTGGGCAACTACGATGAGATGAAAGAACTGCTGACTGATCGATCCAATCAAAGCCACCTTGTTGGTGTTCCAAAGCCATGTATCTCACAAACGTCTGTGACCAAAGCTGAGGAACACTTCATTGCTGACACAAAGCCCCACACTCACGCTTCTCCATCTTCCCTACCAGCGGCACTTTCTGGGCAGTTGGGCAAGAACCCTGCAATGGGTTGGCAGAAGTCTGGGCACACCCTGGAGAACCAGCAAAGGGGAAGCAAACATAGACATGGATTGCCGGATGCACACAATAACGACTTTAAAACGGTTAGCCAAAAGAACAGTTTAGAAAAGATTACACATTACGCATCCAATCCCTCATCACCATCTCCGTCGAGTGTTGCCCAAAGTCCTTTATCGTCTTCACTTGGGAACAACAGCAGAACACAACAGCAGCTGTCAAAGCTGAGTTTTGGTGGAGAAGGTGGAGCTCAAGCTCAGGAGAGGCCAGCTATGCATAGCAATGGACACTGTGTGCAGAACTTTCCTCCTTCACTTGCTTCGAAGCTCAGCATAGTTCAGCAGAAACCAACAGCATATGTAAGGCCAATGGATGGTCAAGATCAGGCTCCTGAGGAGTCTCCAAGATTGAAGGTGCCAGCTGAAACTAGCCTGCTCTGCACCTCATATAGAGGAATGCCTTCTGCCAAAGCTGACTCAGCTAGGACAAAGTCAAAATTGGCAAAATTTAATATTCCCAAACAAGAAGAGGTAAGTGCAACAGAGCTTTCCATGTGCTGTTGATGTACTAGTTAATCACTTTCAAAACACTGACATCCTACATTGACTTTTTTTCTCTTAGAAAGTATACTTTGCACTGCATTTTCAGGGTACAGTGGTGCCCCGCAAGACGAATGCTTCGCGAGACGGAAAACCCGCTAGACGAAGGGGTTTTCCGTTTGCGATGCGCTTCGCAAGACGAATTTCCCTATGGGCTTGCTTCGCAAGATGAAAACGTCTTGCGAGTCTCACCATTTCCCCCCCGCTTCCCCCCCCCTTTTTCAAAGCCGCTAAGCCGCTAATAGCCTTTTAGCAGCTTAGCCGCTAATCCTTTAATAGCCGCTAAGCCGCTAAATCGCTAATAGCGCTAATCCTCTTAGCCGCTAATGGGCTTGCTTCACAAGACGAAAAAACCGCTAGACGAAGAGAATCGCGGAACGGATTCTTTTCGTCTTGCGAGGCACCACTGTATTCATTTTTACTCGGTGTGTAAGTGGCAAACTTACACAAGGACTTAGAGTGGGGTGGGGAGGGATTCCAGGCCATTCTTCAAATTTGCCATTGTCTCAACCGCTTACTTGGCTAGTAAGATAGCTACAGTTTTGGTTCCCATTTGGCCCGCTCCCCTTTAGTGCTTAAATTTTATGATTTCCAGTGACTTGATTACTAATCCCAATTGAAAATGGATTTTAGTTGATTGACTATTTCTTCACACCTATGTAATGGTGGTCAATGAATAGCATTTAAAGTCTGAAATGGGACAGGGGTTGGCTGGTAAGAAGTCAGTGCCCTGGTTCAAAGGATATAGATGTCTTTCTTTCTAATAGCATCATTAGCATGTACAGATGAGAGCCAGAGATGAACAGGTTCTGTCAGCACTCAAACAGCAAATTGGCTCCAGCTACATGACTTAGAAATATTGGTACCGTCACAACAAATAGTGGGCTATTGTCTAAAGGTTGGAAGATTAATACTGTGATGAACAACGGGAGCTTCATTGGGTCTTGGAGAAAGAAAACAAAAATGTATATGTTGTGTGTGTGTGTGTGTGTGTGTACAGGTTTGATTGGATGGATTTAGGTGATGGTGTATGTATCACAATGTCATGGTGTGGTCCCTAAAGAAGCCATCCCTGGATCCATAGGTGTATGCCAGTCACCACCCAATCAACAATACACTTTATTTATTTCATAGACTCATAGAATTGTAGTGTTGGAAGGGACCATGAGGGGCTCGGACACACAACTCTGAGATTAAGCGTCTCCTGCTCTCCCAACTGAGCTATCTCAGATTTTATTTTCTTCTTCTTCTTCTTCTTCTTCTTCATCATCATCATCATCATCATCATCATTTTAATTATTATTTTGTATACTGCTCTTCATCTGAAGATCACAGGACAGTTCACAATATAAAAATACAAAACAAGAACATAAAATGCATAATAAAAACAAGAACGGGAACAAACCAATAACCTTCATCCCAATAGGATTATTGGAAATATATGTTGTTGTTTCTGTACAAAACGAGTTCCTCTTCCATTTTTCCTCTCGAGGTTTCCCTATCTACAGGCAATGAAATAGCACTTGAATGCAAATTATAGGCCATTATTTTAAAATATGCAGGAAAGGTTGATTTCCCATGCAGTTTAGTTCTTCATTTAATATTGTTAATCAGCTTTTGAAGGTTCTCAATATCAAGACATAAAGAGAATCTTAAAGTAATTTTTGCAGAAATTGTTTTAATGAGAATACCCTAGCTGTCCGTTATGTATAAAGGTATCAAGTGTTCGTTCAGGATTTAATTTTTAGGAGTCAGTTTCATCAGCATTAATCAGAATTCATATCCGACCTCCTGGACCTTTCAGAAATCATCCTACTTCTCAGTGTAAATGATAGCCTCTCATCTCAAGTGCTGCTGTTTCACATTTAGAATTTTATTGTAAGCGGCTTATGAATTATATTACTAGAATGATGAAGGTCTGAAGTGCTGAACAGAAACATCTTGCAGTATAAAATAGGCCATAGAGAGACACTTGTTTCCAGTATAGCTCTTCTAAAATTATTTGCCAAAGATGCATCCATTCTCTTTTATCTTGAACTTATGATTCATGTATTGTTCTTGGTAGATTGAAAAAGCCAAGATCCAGTGTCTGGACTCAAGACATGCACTAATTTCCCCCCTATGCCCTTGTATTTTTAGACATGTAAAGAATTGTACTGAACTTACCTACTAAGTAGCATTATGTTCAGTGGGTCATGTTCCCTCATAAGTCTGTTTAGGACTGGAAAATTGAGGGGAAATTTATAAATGCACGTGTTAATTAGGTTGTACTCTTTATTTCGTTAGGTCAACTTCCAGTGTGACAAATGAGGCTTTCCTTAGTCAGAAAATCTATGTAATTGTTCTTTTTCCCAGTGAACTTCAGTCATTTTGTGGCAGTTGCTGGCTTGGGAAACATTTTACAACCTATTTTTATTGATGAATTCCTTTTATAGTCCACATCAATTCATAATATAGACATCAACTGTCCAGTCCTATATATTAAAACTGGGGTCATATTTATTGGATCTTTTAATTCTGTGTTAATGTCTTTAGAATTTTGACATTAAAATTAGAATATTACACATAAATAACTTGGTGATTAAACTGCATTAGTTTTTTTAAGAACGATTTTTTTCATTGGAGTTATTTTTGTCATGGCTTTCCTATATGCAGTTTACACAAGGGTTTATGAACAGTGCCAGTTTTAGGAACAGCAGCTATCACTTAAATGTATCCTAGGCAACAAACTCAAAAGTTCGTATATCCAACCTTCCTATTTATTCTGTAGCCCTCTGTGCCCTCAGGTGACCATTCCTGAAGGTTAGGGTATCCTTTGGAATGGTATGGGTAATGACACAGGAGCAAGGCTGTAACTGGAAAGTGGAATTGAAGTAAATGGGAAACACTTATCTTTTGGGAGTAGAAGTTCCACCTGCTCATGCTTTCATCAAGTTTGATCCAAGCCCAGGAAAGCATATTCTGAGCCAGAATTACATATATTAGTTGTCAGGCTTGTTTGCTTTCCATAGAGGAAGCATCCCAGAATATTCTATTACACTGGGGCAAGCCATATCTAGATACCTCATCTAGGTGAGTCTAAATAAGTCAGTAAGCAGGCAATAATTAAATCAGGCATGTCCAAACAGTGGCGTAGCGTGGGGGGTGCAGGGGGGGCTGGCTGCACCGGGCGCAACATCTGGGTTAGGGTTAAGGGGCGCAAATCCACGGGTTAGGGGGCGCAAATCCATTGGTTAGGGGGTGCAAATTACTTGCCTTGCCCCGGGTGCTGACAACCCACCCTACGCCACTGTGTCCAAAGTCCATTTTGGGGGCCTAATCCGGCCCGCCGGTTGATTTAATCCGCCCCCCGTGGCAGTATATGTCCTGGGGTAAAATCCTTTAAAAAGCTCAACAACTTTGGGGTAAAAATGTAAAGAAAGCTCAACAACTTTGGTCGGCCCTCACGCATTTTCACTTCATCAAATCCGGCCCTCTTTGAAAAAAGTTTGGGCACCCCTAAATTAAATGCTTGCCTAGTATGGTTGCTGTACTCTACGCTTTCCCCTTCACCATTATGGGATCATGTTCTTTTCCGTTGGAAATGGAAATGAATGGAAATATCCTGACAATTTCTGCTTAATGAATTTTGGGGGAGCATGCCTCAGATTTCTGGGATGTAACATACACCATTTACCAGTTGTAATGTTTCATCACTTGCCTGTGCCATCTCAAATCAGGTTCTAGGCTGCCAGAATATATAAGCTGGATAATATGACATCCTAAATATTATTCCGAGTGGACATTTGTGACTACTGTGATAATATCAGTCCATAAACTATTTGTCCTCCTTGTGCAAAGTTATCATTTGTAGTTTAGAGTGCACTTTAGAAAATGAACCTTTGCATTTAACTTCCAAAAGGAAACACAGACCAATTTCTAATACAGTTTTTAATTTTTGATAATTCCTTTTTTCACAAATGGTTCTTTGGAAGATACACTGTACATTTGCTCCTCTCTCCATGGTTTGCCAATCTATATTTTGAAGAACATAATTTGCAGTAGCAAAAGTCGGAGAACATGCTGAGCCTAGACATTTATTTGAAATGCCATATTATGTGAACCTGTTAATGTCAAGACATATCTTAGGAGTATCACATAAAACTGCTGACCTTTCCTCAGCTCTTGATTACTTTTTGTCTTTCTCAATTAAGGAACTGTTCAGAACCCAGTTCACTGTGTGACCCTGAGTATATAAATCTACACTGATAATTTCATGGCACTTGTACATTAGAAATTATGGTGCATCTATGGACATAACTTACTGCTCTACCTCAGTACATTGGACAGACTGTAAAACAGATGGAGCAGGAATTTCTCAGATATACTGCAGGAAAAAACACCCAGCTATATAAAGGAGAGTATGGTGAAGCTGTGACTCTCTGAAATAAGGGGTAAGCTAGATGATATGACAGCACAACCCAGCTTGGATAACTCAGAATGGGAAATATTGATTTAAATATCAATTTATGCCAGTGGGAAGGGGTAGCTGCCAAAACTTCCCCTCAAAAGCTGGTCTTGGAGCCCAGTGAGAGCAATTCTGTCCCCCAATTCTGTGCTTTAAATGGTTCCTACCCTCTTGGTAGGGACGCGGGTGGCGCTGTGGGTTAAACCACAGAGGCTAGAGTTTGCCGATCAGAAGGTCAGCGGTTCGAAACCCTGCAACGGGGTGAGCTCCCGTTGCTCGGTCCCTGCTCCTGCCAACCTAGCAGTTCGAAAGCACCTCAGAGTGCAAGTAGATAAACAGGTACTGCTCCGGTGGGAAGGTAAACGGCGTTTCTGTGCGCTGCTCTGGTTCGCCAGAAGCGGCTTAGTCATGCTGGCCACATGACCCGGAAGCTGTACGTCGGCTCCCTCGGCCAATAAAGTGAGATGAGCGGCGCAACCCCAGA